GACGTCTTTTATTAGTCTCAGTGTTGTCATCTTTTATTAGTCTCAGTGTTGACGTCTTTTATTGGTCGCGATGTTGACGTCTTTTACTTGTCATAACGCTGACGTCTTTTTCTAGTCAGACCACTGACGTCGTTTACTTGTCAGGATGCTGACGTCTTTTGGCTTTGCATATATGTCTCAAAAAAGACATTAATAAGACGTCAATATTGGACGTCTTTATGACGTCATAACGACTGCCCACTGGGTAGTTTCCCCCCCAGTCTTCAGTTTCCTTGATGTTGAAGGAGTGACATCCAGACTCCTCAATGCAGGCTGAGCCACAGGCGCTGACACTGTCAGTGCTAAACTCCCGAATGATGTGGTCGAGGAGGCAGGTTGAGTTGAGAATGTGGCCGTGGTTGTTGGTAGAGAAGCAGTAGTGATAGGGTTGGGTCGGACGAGGAGTGCAGGCAGCCTGGCGCACACAGAAAGCCTCGTGAAGATCACTACAAGAACCATCATCCATACTGTCATGATGTGTTGAAGCCAATACAGCACAGTCTTGATCACCGCAACAATTATCCGGTTGTCCAGGTCCCCATTTCAGGAATAGTTCGCTTCCTCTCTGACCATCACACTTCCAAACTCCTTCAACTTGCAAGTCATTGCAAGCGATCCATGCGTAAAACTTGCTGCCCCTCTGTTGTGCCACATCAATCATAAACTTCATCTCTTTGAGCAGATGAGGAGCAGCCATTGCCCCATTTCCCTTGGCATATGGACTTTTTAGAGTCATTCCAGTAATGACGCAATTCAGTAAGAGACTTACTCCACAGTTGCAACCCTGACAGGTACGTGCATTTCATAGCTGGCAAAGAGGGGCAGGTAAAGCAGGTAAATGATTCCCACAGCACTATGAACACTGAGCTAAAAAATTGCTGTACCATGAATTCCAAACACGACATTCATAGTAGTGGATCAGTTGGTAAACCAATGTGTCAGCACAAGAAGAGAGGAATGCTGACCTTAGAAGACAATTTACTTCCTATCAGTGAATTATGCAATCCATGCACCTTGTGGGTTCAAAAATATCACAATTGTTATGTCAACACAAAGTTTTCAACTATGCACCATAGCACTTCCAGTAAGTATCTCAGTCAGTCTGTGTGTGAAGTTTATCTGTATTGACAGGTATTAACACTTGTAATGCCAAATTCTGAGATAGCTGCTGATCAATTAAAGACTGGCAGAAATAATGGCAAATGAAACCACCAATGATGTGTATCACAATTAGGCAAAAATGAAGAATTCTGCTTCTGATTACATGCCTCTGAAAAATAGGGTTGGTGCGTTGGAAATTTTTTGGGGGGTTCAATTTTTTGTGATAGAAAGGCATGAATGGGGACGAGAGCTACCAATAATTGCCACACACAAAAGTGATAAAACTTGCCTTTAGTTCAAAATTTCTACAGTCGACAATTCTTAAGAATTATGGACAATTTACACCACTATGGACAACACTAGTCAGGTAAAAGTGAAAGCAATCTGGCCAACAATGTCTATGTATCGTGTGGTACGTGTGTATGTGATGCATCTAGATGGGCGGGCGATAAACATTGTGCTATGGCAGGAAATGTTAAGGAAGCTTGCTTGCTTTAAGTAGGAGCAAAACAACCTCAAATTAAACTCTTGAATATAGAAAATACACAGACAAGAGACTAAGTTCTGTAAATGAACTTGCAGAAATATTCTTGCAACATTGATGTTTTTCAATGAGCAGCTGTCGGGTTGTGTGCATGCACGGTTGGTGTAATGTAATGAAGCTATTTATGGTATATAGACTGGTTGCCACATTTCCATCATGCGTTCTTGTGGGTGTGGTGGCTGGAACCATGGGGCTTTGTGCACTTGTTTTCACCTCCGTGACAGTGAAACAAGAAAATAATGGAAGTTTCTTTTCAAGGACTAAGGAGAGTGATACATCGGTTCAGTTTAGAATCGACAGCAGGGGAGGTTTGTGACAGGAAGACAGCTCATTACATGA